TTGGCCCTGCGTACCACGCGGTAATGGCGCTGCCAACGAGGATGACACCGGCATAGGACAGGAACCCGGGCTGAATGACATAGCTTTGCATCTGTTGAATGTTGGCAACGGCAGAATTCTCGGGCGCGTTCATGACAATGACGACAGAGCCAACAATGCAGAGGAAACATGCGACTTTGCCCACCATACTCAAGCGTTCCTTGAGGAAGATGGCGGATAGGATGGCAGTTAGGACAACGGATAAGGCGCCTAGCGGGGTAACGAGTATGGCGTCGGTGAAGGCATATGCGACGAAGTTGCAGATCTCGCCGAAAATCATCAGGGTCATGCCCGTCCACCACCAGGCGTTCTTGAGGTAGCCATAGCCCTCACCGGGAGCTTCATTGTATTTCTCGTTAGCCTTCAAAAGACCGACTTTCTTGATGACGAAGGAGGTTCCGATAAATGCGCCGGAGGCTACAGCCAAGGAAATACCAATGGCCTTGTATGAGGCAGGTCTCGTGGCAGTATCGCCAGTTGAACCGCCCATCCGTGCGTATATCTCGTGCGCCGCCGTCAACATTTCCGCGGATTGCTCCATTGCGGCGGTTGGGTACGCCGGCGACTTGGTCGCCGGGGTGATGTATCGAAGAGAGGGGCTCTTGTTATTCGACTTTCGTGATCATTCGCTTAATCTAGTTACGATATGAAAAATCGGGGGTGGAGGTGTTGACGAGAATGTCCAGGGCGTTAGGCATAGAAACCCTCAATCGGTAGAAGCAACGTAGAGACTCGACTTGTGTGATTTGACGTTTCGCGGGCTGTCAGCTATCGGGAACAAGCGAGTGTCAACAATCTTGGCGAAGCTTGGGCGGGTCGGAGAGTCGTCTTGGGGATAGGGGGAGTGCTCAAGATGCTGAGTGCAATAGTAGGTTCGGAGGTAAGGAATTTGAGGTCGATAGCGGTGGAGGGGTCGAACAGCAGCTGGTTTTTCCCTTGTGGGCTATGAGAATGGACGCTCGATGGGAGGCTGTGTCGAGGAATTGGGTCCGAGTAGGATGGAGTCGCCGCAGTGCGCAGAGGTAGCGCAGTATGCGTACGGATAGTTAGTGGTGTGGTGCTCGTATTGACGGCGGCAGTCTGTCTTCGCCACACCAGCTTGCGTCAGCGCACTTGCACGCAGAGCTGAGCTTAGATGAGATGCGAAGAACGTGGTCTTGGTTCGTCAAGTTCGTAAAGAGTCGTTAACAGGAGGTATCCGTATCTAGGAAATAGGACTGTGTGGGACGTATGCAGGAAGCAGACGTTAGGTGCGGGACGAACAACTGATGGGCGTCAGGTCTTGGTCGCCCGGGTAGTCGTAGGCGTAGGTATAGGTATCTGCAGAGGGAACCAGAGGTTCGTGGGAAAAAAAGACGAACGGCGGGAGCTTGGCTGATAAGAGAATGCAGAATGGGGGGGAGGGGAACAGGAAGAGTGCTTGGCCCCCGGTCAGAAAAGTGAACAAGATGCGCAGTGCAGCATGAACATGGGAGAAGCAGAAACAAGCGAATTGCGCAGGCTGGGGATATTTCAAAATGGGAAAGCGAAGCTGGGATCCAAGAGTCAGGGCCGAGGAGAGAGAGAAAGAAAAAAAAAAAAAAAAAAAAGGACCAGGCTGGAACTGGTTGGTTGACTTTGGTGGACTAGGATTTGGGGAGGAAGGAACACGACGGACCAGGAGATGCTGGTGACCTGGTCTAGAACCCCCCCGGTGTCTTCCATGAGTTGAGTCATCTGATTGGGTCAGGAGGCTCGTGTGGGTGGGCAGTAGTGGGGGAAGCTGCGTTTAGCGCTTTCCCGCAGCGCGGGACGCACCCTGTTCTTGGAAAGAGCCACTGGTGGGGCCCAGGGGCTTTGCCTGCCACCTCTTGCGCACCTCACCCATTGCCAGTTCAACACCCAAGGTAAGTACCTTCCACGGAGACCACACAGCTTCCTGTCCCTTCACAGCCTTTCTTTGAATCCCACCTTTTGAGGGTATCTGGAACAGCTTGTTTGAGCCGACTCGCACACCAGTCACCGGTGACCATGGCGGTCATGGGCCTTGTTGGCGGTCGGAGACGTTGCAGTCGGGAGATGCTGCTGTATCATGTACGAGAAAAAGGTAAAATTAAAAACAGAACAACCCGCACGAATACATGAGGCTAATGAGGTCACAGTTGGCGCCCCATGGCACTCTGCTTCGCCTTTCTTCATCGGCCAGACCCTTTATATCGGACTCCGAGAGTGACAGTTGGCCGGTTGTCACTTCAACACCCACTCCTTCCGCCATGATTCGAATCTTTGCCTGGAATTTATCGAGCAAGACTGCAAAGAGAGTCGATACATCGCGAGGGGGAAGTATGTCGTCCATCAGCCTCGCTACGTGCGCATAGACAAGACGGGTGCACGTTGACGACACCCACCGAGCGCATTAAGCAATGACATGCACACCATCTTCAGACCAACCCATCCATCCCAACAACAGTCCATCCATTGCGTCTTCTGTCTGCGAACACGCACCTTGTTTCGCACCAACACCTCCCACACAACTCCCTCACCAGGCTTCAACCCAGTTGTACCCGAACATTTCAAGCTGGGAGAAAGTTGGGACTCCAAGCATTCGGCAAGTACAATCCCTATAATCAAGCCCACCACACCACCTCAAAATGGTAGACACCGCCGTGAGGAAGCTTAGCGGCAGTCGTACTCGTGCTCGATCTTGTCGCTACCCGTTGAATGTTGCTGTTTCGCAAATTTCTCGAAAATACTCGACGCAGTGACCGGACGAAAGCGCCAACGACAGCCCGTCTTCCACGTCGCCCCGTATTCTCCTGCAACGCATGTTTTGCGCAAGTCACTCAGCGCTGTCATCTCTTTGGCTCCCGCCTGCAAGTCTATTCGTCTGACACAATGCGACACACGTCAACCGCTTTCGAGTCTGTCTCCAAGGTCAGCCAGCGTGCCAAGCTATCCCCATTCGAGACCCAGTGTGCCAGTAATACATACCTATTCCAATGCCTGTGTGTGCTGGGAAACCAAGGTCACATCGAAGCGTCCACCATCCTGGCCGGTGATGTCAAGACCAGCCAGGAATGTGGCTCTCTGCAACGGCTGATAGGCCCGTGTCACCCCAACATGCGACAACCACCCTAGATTTGGGTGCTTGATGGCCTGGGTCGCTCGCTCTCGCCCTAGCAACGGACAAGCTCAATCTCTATTCAGTCAACAAAATCCGGCACCACGCGACTCGCCTGTGTTGACCAGTAGACAACGCAACGCCAAGATTCCAGACAATCAATATTCAAAAGTCTAGGCCGGCGATAGCTCACACAAAGCCAACAGCATTCAGATGAGCCGGAGCAGCGAGCTAGCTAGCTCCAGAGAGCAGCCCACTTTGCCTTGCGAACAATGACGGCGGTGTTCGGGGCTAGGTCAGGTCTGGGATGATGGCAGTGCGGCGGTGGTGCTGCGTGCAGCGCTTTTCCATGGCCGAGTTGCTTCAGCTGCCCGATTGACCCCACCATGCAACCTGCCCGCCCGAGATGAACCCGACCTGATGCTCCGCGCGGGCAGGCTGATACGGATAAGGTACGTATCTTCGCTCCGCCTGACAATGGAAGTCAAGCTGACAATCCCTCGCCAGCTGTCGATGATTGGCCGCCGGCTGCGCCCCTCTATCCCATACTTCCCCTCCAAGTCCAACTCTCCCATGGGCGGAATCCAACGCAATCACACAATCACACAATCAAGTCCTTCTTAAAATGCATCGCGCGAGTCAAATCCAGCCGCATGCGCCCATGCGTTGGCCACGCCCACGACCGATTCGAGGGACTCTTTCACCTGCGCAAAGTGTATCACACTCTTTGTTCGCCTGCATCACGAGCAATGCCTGCCAAACGGATCTCTTACCGTACAGGCCTCCACTGATGGGTGCTCCTGAATCCTGCCCACCTCGAGGCGACGACCAACGGTGGCAAGGCACAAGGACGTGCCAGTAAGGGCTCACTCACTCCTATTGTTGTCCCTCGTCTCAGTTGTTTTCAATGAGCCCCTACGGATACAACATATTGGATTGACAATCGCTTTAGTGGCACGCATAAGACGCCGCAGCTTTGCCGACTTTGGCACCTAGCGACGGCCCAATGCTTCAGACAGAAAAAGGCAGGCGATTGTTCCTGTAAGAGGCATCCAGGCGATCCGTCCGGGGGCCACAACCCAACTTTGAATCCTGTCAAGCTCGTCCGTCAAGCCTGTGAGCACTGCCTCGGCGCCATCAAGCTCAATCTGAATGATACCCCAAAAAGTACATGTCTCCGGACCTCAGTCAGCTTCGATGTGGGGATTCTTACCACGCTGACTTGAAGGATTGCGGGTTTTTTCCTGCATTCCTCCCCACGCCTTACGCAGGCTTGGCTTCGTGTTGATGGGACCCTTGCTGAGCCGCACCCGCGTTCTTGGCCGAGACACTCAGATGCTTTGCTCTCCAGAATGCGTCGAGGCAGCCAACTGCCGGAAAACCTCATCAATACTGTCTGCTACCACGCAAACTCGAGTCGGCCATTCCCATATGTCAGCACGTCAAAGTCTAGGCCCGGCTTACAGATTTCTCGCCCGGGCACCGTCCATCTTGAGAATCTGAAGTTTGATAACCAGCGGATGCCGTTTCGCGCATAGAACGGATCTGCAGAAACGAAGCAACATCCGATCGAGGCTTGTGCGGGGCCCGGGATCGGCCCTCCACGGCTGTTACCTCCAGTGGGGTTCGTCCTCTGGTGCCTCCGATTTTCTCTCGGCGTCTCGATCGACCCCAGCAACACGAGCAACATCCTTTGCTCTTTCGTTCTGTTGATACTGGACATGATTGAAAAGATGGTTGACAATTAACATTAGGTATATCGAGGCAAGTTGTAGTCTAATCAAATATATGGACATCGCACGATCAAGTATCTGACACCTAACTCCCTTTGCAGATATAGCGCGGCGGTTGTTCGCCCTTTTCACACTGCAACTCTGAAGGTCTTGGCAACGCTAGGAACGCCTGCTTCGTTCACAGCAAACAACATCCAGTAGCCAGGGAGTGCGATGCCGGCGTCTCCGGGAACAGTCACGGTATACTGTTTATCGTTGGCCTGGGCCTCTAGAGGGCAACGTCTCTGGTCGGTGTTGACTGCGTGTGTCGAAGTACCCATTCTAATCATCGAGAAGGTGTAGTTCGCCGCCTCTTCCATCGTAATGGTGAAGCTGTCGCCGGCCTTGCACTCGGAGATCGAGAGCTCGGAAACGACAGGGCGCTTGGCAAGAGTTTGCCCGTCCTGGAGCCAAATTAGCATTGTGATTCATGTAGCCCAGTATTTCAGCATCATTTCGTACGGTTTCAAAGAGATAGGGCGGCGAGAAGAACTGCCCGTCAAAGTGATTGGCGGTACATCCGTTGCAAAGACCACCGCCGCCAGAGAAGATGGTCGCATCAGGCATCAGAAGGGCTACTGAGTGGTAGTTACGGGGGGTGGTATGTGACTTGAGCTAGGAGGAAGTCAGCGCTGTAGCCTTGCAAGCTTTCTCAATGAACTGACTGTAGTGAACTTCTTGGTAGCAGGATCCCACATCTCGGGGAAAAGCTGCGGGTTGGCGTCCGAGAAGAGTACGGTACGGCTCTGGCCACCAACAATGAAGACCTTGCCATCCGGAAGGACGACACCGTTGGCGAACCCGCGGTTGTACTTGGCGTTCTCAAGCTTCTCAACCTCAACAGCACCGCCAGCCTCACCGATGGTAAGGACATGGGCGTTGGCGGTTGACGCAACGCCGTCGTAGCGCGGAGCACCTCCTACGGTGAGAATCTTTCCGGCAACAGCGCTGAGAGCTTTTGTTAGCGACCAGACTTGGCGATGGGGGGGGATGAACAACACATACTCGTACATGACATTAACGCCGCACATGGCATCGCTGTCACTTCCTCGGTTTCCAGCACCCTTGACGCTTCCCGAGTCCCGCGTGGAGTACCAGTTCATCGCCTTGCTGGGGCCGGCCTGGAAAACGTATCCATCCTTCCACGCGTGAAGCCATGCGTGGCTATCGGCCCGGAAAGAGCCACGTGTATCTTGGGTCAACATGGGCGTCACCGAGCACCCGTCGAGCTTCTTCCATTCCTTGCTCACGGTGTCGTAGATTTCACCTTGCTTTCCTTGGGCACCACCACGGAACGAGCCGCCAATGGTGAAGACCTTGTTATCAGAAGTGAGGGTGCTCGACTGGTATCCACGAGGGATCTTGAGGTCGCCAGTGGCGGCCCAAGAGTTGGTGTCTTCATCAAAGATACTCGTCTTGGCGGCAGTGGAGCCTCCGCTGACGATGATGTGGCCATCGGCGTCCATGGAGATGCCCGGGCAAAACATATCATGCTGTGTGTTCTCGACCAGGGCCTCAGTGACTTCCTTGCTGTATGGGTTGTAAATCGAGGTGTATGTCTTTCCGTTACCGGGGAATGTCCAGCGGTTTCTAGTCGTCGTTAGTTCGTCCACGTTGATCAACAAATCAAACTTTCGGCAGTTGCGGAAGGAAAACACAAAACTAACCTCCAACCAGAAGACCACGCCAGCAACTCCCCAGTCTTGGGCAATAAAGCCACGGCAACCGGTACGACCGGGAACTTGACCAGGGCGCTCCATTGCCCGATGCTCTGGAACTGGGAAAAGTCAAGCTGGTACAAGTTGTAATACCCAGCCGCGCTCGTCCCGCCGCCGCAGAACGCGCCCTTGTCGCCCGCGCACGCCGTCTTGCAAAAGCTGCTTCCGCTGTTGCCGCGATCGCTCGGCACGTCGCCGCAGAAACAATCCCGCCCGGCGCCGCCGAGACCAAAGTACTTGCTCTGGTACAGCCCGCAGTGGTCCTGGCACATTTGCACCGTCATCTGCGCGGAGCGGAGCTTGGGGTACTCGGCCAAGGGATCGCCGCGCGCGGGCATGCGCTGGCACCCAATGTGCTGGGCCTTTGAAGGGGACGCCGCGGCCGTCATCATTGTCTCCGGGCCGTAGACATTGACGTAGTTGACGCCGCCGCAGAAGGCGCCGTCATCGCCGCGGCAGGCGGTGTTGCACTGGCTCAGTGGGGCGACCTGGGTATTTGCACGCAGGGCATTGCCGCAGATGCAGTCGGTGCCGCGGGAGAGGCCGTACATTTTGGACTTGAACTGAGAGCAGTAAGACGCGCAGGTCGACGGGCTCATCTTGTCGGAGCGGGTGCCCTGGGAGGTGGAGACGTCGGTGGTGCCGGCCTGGTCTGTTGCGATGAGGGCCGTTCCGCGGGTGCGTTCCTGGTAGCAGCCCATGTGGACTTGGCCCGAGGGCGCGGGCTCTTCTGCTGGCATCTGGTAGACATTGAGGGTGTTGTCTGCGTCTTGTGCCGATGCGAGGAGGGGGATGAGGAGTGCCGCGAGAGACACTGCTCTCGGTGGGAGCTGCATTGTGAATGAGTGTAGATGATACTAGTAAATAACGAATGACTTGATCCTAATGAATGGAGAACTAGAAAAAGATGGACTGAAAAGAAATGGAGCTCCTGCACAGGGTTGCCTGAGTAGGTAGGATGGGAGGTAACCAACCATTAGGTGGGTGTTGAACGCTTCATATACAAGTTGGACCTACTCAACATCTAGATAGTCACGATATCCTCGCGTGGACCAGCCAGAACTACCTCCAGGGCTCTAAAACAGAACATTAACCTGATTGGCCGCTCAAAAAAAAAACCCAAAGCGCTGCCACCGTCGACGGGCACACACAGACATCAGGACATGGTCAAGACGGGGCGGTCGTCGGTCGAGCACCACCTCATTCACCCGTTCCCCGCTTGCTCCCTCGGGATAGATTGTAAGAGTGACGGTTCTACCCAAAGCAAAATCATAAGCGAATGCCCCAGAGCTGATGTCCTACCTTGAGAACGACGAAACTACTTGGCTTTGCTCAGGTATGCCAGTTTTGGCAAAGTAAAGACGCTGACGATGATCGATTTGGGTTTAGGTCGCCTGCCAAGACTTGAAGTGTCATAGCGGGGTCGGCTCGAGTCTCGTTAGACTGACTTTGAATTTGGAAAGACTGAGGTTGTGTGGCTGGGCTAGGTATGTTTATTCTTGTCAAGGCTGTCTAGTTTGCTGATGGGGAAAGGGGGGAATACATCATCGGGATGTTTTGGTTCCATTGAGGTCAGATGAGGATCAGGTACGAGTTGAAGCTGGGAGGAGAAAGATGAAAAATTATCACGGCTTTAGGCCAGCCAGTTTTCATTAGCAACTTGTCATAAAGAAGCTTTCCGAGTGCATAAGTCATAACAATTGCAGAGCAGAAACTCTCTTGCGGAAATACATTTAAGCTTACCTTATCCCACCGAGAACGTGGTCGGTCGGATTTGGGACTAACATCATTACAACAGCAGGCCCAACTAACCCAAATTAAGTCTAAAAAGAAGGTTGCGACCAGCTAAAGCCGATCAGTTCTACCGTGTCTCAGGTCGCTCACTTAGCACGCTTAGCAATCTTAGCCTCTTAGGTGATCTTTTCGCCCACGGCCCTGTTCATTTCCTCGTATGGTGGTAGCACTGGCTGTAGAACAAATCTGGGGAAGGAAGTCTCGACTTTAAGGTGGAGGTAAATGATCCTCATTCTTTTCCACGATGCATCATGTGTGCGTTAAGGTTTTCTTCTGATTCATCTGATCGTGCTTGAATCTGTTAGATCCGACGATCAACGTGAGTCTGTATATGCAAATTGGGACGATTCGTCTGTTGAGCTGCATGTCTTAGCGGGCTCAGCGGGTTGAAGGTGGCTCTTGACCGTGTGCCGACCAGAAAATACGAGGAAGGGCATTCTCAAGACTTTTTATCGCAGTCGCCATTCTGTCCTGAGTGTATGTTCTCATGCATTTCTTGATCGACTCTAGATTAGTCACTCCATGTCGTCTCGACATCCCACTTCGCGACGCCCACCTCCCTGAACATGACACGTTAAGGAGGTGGGAGCCGTGATGCGCCACAAATAGTTCACGCTAGCAGTCCATGTAACATACCTACTCCAGAGGATCAAAACAGTTCATCGCGCATTTGCGATATTGACGGATAGATCTTATGGCCATTTCTTCACAAGCATTCTTCCCCGTGAATTTTGAGCCACTTGAACTACCACTTCGAAAATGACGGCTGCGACAACTTTTGGCTCGGCCACTCCAGTCATGTTTGTTCTGGACGTACTCGACGCGATTGAACAAAACTCATGCTCAGTGAGGCTTGATAACCAAGAAACAGTCTTGATAGACAGCGTGTAGAGTCGTTCCACTCATGCTGATTCACAATTCATCAAGTGTCAAAGAATTCTTTTGGAGTACCAGTTGCTCTCTCGTCTTAATCCTTGGTCTTCTAAGTTCTAGAATTTCGGACTTGGATAATACCGTCTTACTTACTTCTTCCACAGGCTCGGGCAAAGTCCGAAGTTCTAGAAGACTTGCAGTTCATTACATCGAAACCCGATATAGTGGTCGCCGAGAACTTGCCTAAACGGGCAAATGTGGTGATATTCCGCAGTTCTACGCGTATGCCGATGCACAGCCGCCACGGAAAGGGGGCGAAGATCCTTAATACCTGTTACAATACCAACATGCTAAAGAGCTCAGCCCTAAATTGATGACCAGCTTTACATCAGTACCCATCATGCTCTCATTTGACCAATAGTATGCACAAATGCAAGCCGTAGGCTTAGCAATACTCCTTCCTTTATGGAAATTCAACGAGTAGTCCGTAGCCAAGACCTCGGGAACCGTGGCGAGTGCGGTCGCTATGCTCCTCTTTAGAGCCTCAACTCCACAAACTCTCCCACTTCCCGGCCGACAACGAAGATGTGGACGTCAGCAGCGCAAGGGGATGTTCCAATCAAAGCCTTCGCAACGTAAGCCATTAAGGAGAACTTGATTAGCGGATGGCTACAGAACCCCGAGCAATGCCAAAAACGGTGATGAACGATGGAATATGGAAATAATTGAGCGAAGGTGTTGTCGTATAAGAGATGATGGGATCCTCGGAAGAAGACTTGGAGTTTGAGACCTCACGCTCATCGCACAGTCTAGACACGACTTGACTCTCATTCATCAGAAACTCTGTCTTTACTGTACCCATCTCCAACATGCTGTTCACCGACTTGTTCCTCTTTGCCCTGGCCGCAGGAACCACTCTCGCTCACCCCGAGAAGCTCACTGCCGAACAAGCAAAGCATGAGGCAAAGCTCATTGGCCGAAGCACCGACAAGTGCGCTGCGGCGATCGAGAAGCGCAAGGCAGAAATGTTTGCGAAGCGAGCGGCTCGTCTGCAAGCCCGCCGAATTCAAAACGGCCATGTCGATATCCGGGACCTGATGTCCCGGAACTCGTTGCAGTACACCACCATCCAGAACGACACTTGCGTTCTGGCCCCTGACACCGTCTGGGGACCCTATGGGTTAGTCAACTACGACGGGTTCGATTTTGAGGTTGATGCGGGGACTGACTTTGCGACAGCGTTGATGGGGAAATCCATCGTCACGATCTGCGTGAGACGCAGGGAGGTATCGACTTCTATCTCGACATGGGCGTGATCGACATTGAGACATGCGAGCCCCTCGTCGGCACAGCCCTCACGATTTGGAATTGCAACGCGACCGGCTCATATTCCTCCTTCACTGGAATCGACCCCAACACCGCAGAGCTCCTGGATAACTGGTCTAAAAGGACGGACGGCACCACCGACGACGAGACGTTCCTGCGCGGGATCCAGACGACCGACCAGAACGGCGTCGTGGAGTTCCTTACGAAGTTCCCCGGATACTACATCACAAGAACGACTCATATCCATGTCACCGCGCAGACCAACATTGCGAACGGCACGTCGTATTCCGCCAGCAAGGTGCAGCACATCGGTCAGCTCTTCTTTGAGGAGGATCTTTTAAGCCAGGTATACGCTGTCAGCCCGTACAGTGAGCACCTTACGACGCTGAACCGTACTACCAACGAAGAGGACTCGCTGTACTCTGATGCCAGCTCCGACGGGTACAGTGCTGTCATCAGCGTCAGCCAGTTGACTGATAACATCGAGGATGGACTTGTAGGATATGTGAGTGAATGACTTTCGAAATCGATCTCAAGTCCACAGTCTGCTAATGCGAAGTAATAGATTACGATTGGTGTCAACTCGACTGCTGATGGACTGGCCATCACCGGAGGTGGTGTCAACCCTCAGGGGTACCTTCCCACTGTTAGTGTGGATGACGCGAAGTTGGCACAGGCAACCGCAGTCGACAGGGCTGACGGCTACACATCTTAGACGTGTTGTAGATTGATCATGTCGTTCAATGTAACATCTGCTGGAACCACTTGTAGTAGATGCACAGAAGCTGCTTTAAGTTCAGAAAAATAGATACCCAAGCACATGTAAGGAGATTCAGGTTGGCACTTTTACGCATTGTCCATCTAGTTGTGAATGATCACGCAGAATTCAAGGTCTACAATATTGAACTCCATGACTTAATTCCTCGCACGATATATGCCTGCCGCAAGACAATGATTCTTCGCGGCGTGACTTCTCGCTACCATTAACCAAATCTTTGAAGAGACTTAGTTGTGAGTTTCACAGAACTCTATCGACCTTGAGCAATGATGTCTAGACGCTCTATATCTTGGAACGATGCTTGACCACATGTTTTTGGCTAGAACATCGTTTCTCCTCAACTCTAGTTGGACTTCTAGGTTTTGATATAGAACTACGGCCTCGATTATATAGAAGCACGAGATCATGGGGCAAGCCGCCGACAGGCACTTGCAGGTAAGAGTGGGATTAAGCTATCTATGGCTATCTTCTTTGCCATTGTTCGCAACGTCTTGGTAGATCACGTTACATTGAAGATGCATCAGACGCTATCGGATCTCGTCCGATGTTCTCACTCGACAAGCTATCTTCACGTTGCCAAGGTCGTTCCAACAGCAGGTGATGAAGGAGCGATATCGAACCGCAGAGCTACAGCAAGACTAACTATTCCATGCGCCAAGGACGGAAGACCGGACGTACTGCCTCGAAAGTCAGAACTGCCCGCGCTATCACGTCTTCAAGGTTGTGTCCTCAATGGTCTGCTTATGTCTGCGATGCGTTCTTATCAAACCTGGAGAGGAGGTGTCGGGTCTCCTCCGCTTCCACTGGTCGATCTCGACATACTCCACCTGCATTGCGCCTTGATAACGCGATCAGATAATGCAGGCCTCGCATGCAGCATCAACATCTTCCATCCATTCCTCTTATTTCCGATGCCGGTCGGTAGAATCACCAGGGTGTATTAGCCGACGCTAGACCAACTGCAACCAACATCACATCCAACGTCTGCCGGGATTAGATTGTGCCCTTGGGGCAAGTAACATGCCCAAGGGAATCATTGGTCGAGGAGGTGCTGTTTCAAGTGTTGGAGGATAGTCCTCTGTGTAGTCTATCCCGAATACAGATTAACCTCCAATAAGACTTGGGAAACTTCCAATAAAAGGCGTCGATAAGCTATTCCCGACCAGAAGAGGTTTTGCATTACCGAGGTGGCAACGCAACAACGCTGTTCGCAAGCACATCACGAAGATCCGCAATTGCATGCTTCTCCTTCCCTGTGAACAATTGGCGGGGGGTTGACCGCTTTACTTATACTTGTCGCAAGCGTCGCATTGTGAACCCTACTTACATTTCGAGTTCTGCGACACTAGCATCTAACCATGCCTCAGTTACGTGACGAAAAGGGAAATACCACTCTGAACGACTCAAAAGAGTCAACTGACCCGAAGGTTGTTGTTGATTCTGTTTTTGAGACGTCGGAAAAGCTATTTCTTGGAGGTATCGACGATGGCTCAGACGGACCCAAGAGAGGGTCTACCGAGGACTCAGAGCCTGAGTACGACTTCAAATCTGAAGAGTTCGTTAACATCCCAGAGCTTGTACGCAACGTTGTCGGATTCGAAGACGATCCAACTTTGCCAGTGCTCACCTTCCGCGCAATCCTTCTTTCTGCAATCTTTTGCACAACTGGAAGTATTGTTTCGCAGCTTTCATAGTAAATCGCCCATCTCCATTATGCAATCTGGTGTGTTACTGATAATAGATAGTTTTCGAACTACAACAGCTCCATTCCCTGTCTTCTTCGTCATCTTGGCCTCTGCTCCTCTTGGTCGGCTGTTGGCACGTATTCTACCTGCTTATACGGTCCCTCTCGGACGCTTTTCTTTCTCCCTCAACCCTGGGCCATTCTCCATTAAAGAACATGCAATCATCGGTATTGCTGCCAACGCGGGCAGTCAAGGCCAGTGGGCAAGTGAGTTGCTTATGACAAATTCCGCCGCCCCCGCTTCCAGATCCAACTAATATTAATGATCAGCTTACTTGCCAACCAATGCAGCACTGTATTACGGCATCACAATGAATCCAGCTGTTGCACTCTTTTTTGGATGGGTTAGATTGAACGATCATGACTTGAAGCTTGAATACTAAGAGCAATCAGGGTGCCTCTCTACTGGGTTTTTCATTCGCTGCAATGGGTAAGACCAAATCACCCTGTGCTGTTGATGATACTCTCTGACAAGCCAAAGTTCGGAAGATTCTGATTGATGATCCTGAATTCATCTTCCCTTTGTCTCTCCAACAGGTCACATTGTATAGGAGCATGCAAGGGAAGTCTGAGTTACACAAAAGCGTTTCCCAGAAACAGATGAGAGTGAGTAAAGAACCGTCAGCTAATCCTGTACCATGTTAACAATATCATCAAGGTGTTCTGGTGGATTCTATTGGGCACATTTCTCTGGCAATTTCTCCCCGAGTACCTTTTCCCTTTCGTCGCTGCTCTTGCTCCTCTATGCTGGTTCGCGAGTCGAAATCACACTGTCAACTTCCTCGGCGCCGGCCGTGGAGGGATTGGACTCCTCAACATCACACTCAACTGGTCTAACATCACCTCTACCGTCATTACTTATCCTTACAGTGTTCAAGTGACTATCTTCGTTGGCTTTGTTATCACGGTAGGTTCTACACCTCTTTTCAATGTTCTGTACTGACTATTCACAAGACATGGATTTTGATTCCCGTTGCTTACTTTGGCAACTTATGGGGATCTCCTACGTACGACATTATGTCGAATGGTGTGTTCCAAAAGAACGGCTCCTCTTATCCATTCGAATCTTTAAGTAAGACAATAATCAATCGAGAGTCATGTAAACGGTTTGTTGTGAGTGCTGACAGCTGCGATATAGTCTACACGGACTCGAGCGGTGTTCAGCATGTCAATGAAACAGCTTACCACGAGGTTGGTCTGGCGTACTCTGGTGCTCAGTACACATGGGAAATCTTCATGGTAAGCGACGTTTCGAGTATTGTTCGCATGCGAAGCTGCTAATCCAACAAAGTGGTACGCATCGTACATTTCCTCCTTTGTTTGGTGTGGCCTATTCCTGGGCCCCAAAGTAGTCAAGATCTGGAAAGCAAGAAAAGCAGAGGGAGAGTATCACCAAGATAGATTGAGGTTGGTCAATCATGTCCAGGTGCTAAGAGCTATTTGCTGACCTCAACTCTTTAGTCGTATTATCCAACAGTATCCTAGCCTCACGTTTTGGTAAGTTCACATCCCTCGGGACTCTATACGCAAGATATTCAGTTAAACTTTGGCTAAACACCATCAATAAGGGAATGGGCTTTGTTAACCATTATTCCCATTGGAATTCTGCTCGTTATTGTCGCCACAAAGTCTGTTTGGATGCCGACTTGGACTTACTTCGTCGCCCTGGGTTTTGGCGGCGCTGCTATGCTGCCCATGAGTCTGGTTTATGCGATGTCTGGATATTCGATCAAGGTTGGGTTCTTCAATGAACTTATCTACGGCTGTTAGTTCAAGGGTATTATAACATGGCGTGTCAAGACACATCTGGCTGACGAAGGCTATAGACATGATCGACGCGAAGGGATCGTCGCGCCATCCCCTTGGTCAGCTAGCCTATCGCATCATTTCTGGCAACGTCTGGTACGATGCTCGTATTGTTCTGGAAGACCAAAAGGTAAGTGTTCTTCTCAATAATTACTTGATCAAAGGGACGCTGACACGAACCCTAGATTGGGCACTACCTCCATCTTCCTCCACGAGACGTGATTGGGGTCCAAATCATCGCAAATATGATAGCTCTCCCTATCAACTACGGCGTTATGCGTTGGGTAATTGCATCCAAATTTGACTACGTGAGCGGTCGAGTCGCGGATCCTCAAGGACAATGGACTGGCCAAGAGTTCAAGAGCTACAATACCGCCGGTATCCAGTATGCACTTGTCGGGCCAAAGAAGCTCTTCGCATCCTCCTTTTTCAAGCCTGTGCTCTACGGCTTCCCTGCTGGCGCGATAGCACCGATCATCATCTGGCTTCTTCACAAGAAGTTCCCAAAAGCCCGTTTCGATCTTTGGAACTCAACGATCTTCTTTGCTAGCGCGGCAACTTTCCACGGAAATCTCAGCACTGGGCCCTTTACAACTTTCCTTGTCGGAACCTTCTTCAACTTTTACCTCTACCGTTATCGTCGCGCTTTCTGGAACAAATGGGCATACATCAGTGGCGCAGCCTTGGACACTGGCTTCAACGCCAATCTCCTGTTCATCTTTATCTTCCTTGGTACAACCGGGGCAGTAATGGCGCACTGGTGGGGAAATAATGCGGAGAATATTGAGAGGTGCTTTGCATTGAAGGATTAATTCCTAGGTATAGAAAGGATCACTTGCTGCTCAAGGGGGCTCTATTAAGCTACAGCAATAGCAATAAAGTCTTAGCCTCAACTGGAAATCCGCCTCGAGACTGCAAATACCTCAAGCTAGCAGGACAGTCATCGAAGCTCAATAGGTTACTTAATCTATGCAACGAAATGGGTTGAAAGTTGAAGGTCATTCTTAATCTAACTTATTCGGATTTCTGTCAATTTGCAGCCATCTACATCCACCGCAGTCTTCGCCTCCCCACACATAAGGCCATCCACGAAGCACTGTGAGATGACCTGCCAGTGGCCATTTTCCAGTCGCATAATCAAGGGCGCTGAACAGCCCGGTACAATGAAGATCGAGTCTCCCTTCCGTATTTGTTGGAGAATTGCGGTGCCGAAAAGCCCCTTCTCCGTCGTGAAGACCGGGTAAACGATTCCAACATGCTTGTCAAGTGATTCTAAGAAGGGCTTAGGGTCCACGCAATCTCCGACATCTTGCACCTGAGGGAAGAAGGACTTGAATTTTCGACCCCAAGGTTGGAAATTGTCATTGAGCTGCTTGCGAAACTGAGTCAAATCGTTGAGGTTGGCGTGTCTGAGAACTTTGCCCCAGCCACGCTTTTCCAGCGCCAAAATGTCTGGATCGTCTGGGCTCAGGCTTTCGAGCCACGGAATATCGAGAATCGTCGTCTGTGAATCGCAGTCATAGATTGCAGCTCGATGAAGAGTCCGTACGATTGCCGCCTTGGGATCCTTTGGCATCTCAACAAATGCTGGCTGAACTGCATCTTGCCAAACACCGAGACCGCCATGTTCCCAACCCAAGAAAGGAGCCAAGCCTTCGACCACATCAACGAGATATCCGCTAGTGACAAGAACCTTTCCGTCCTTTCCCAACCTGAACTTGGCTTTCTGTCCCCAACTGGCATTACAGTGTGTCCCCCAGAGATAAGGATCAACTTCCCTCTCGCCTAATTTTTCTTGGCATCTGCTGTTAGTGAATGAGTGAGCCTACCACCAAATTACTAACAGCCGAAAACTCTTCACCTCCCCTTGCCGGAGCCCGCATCCGCGATGGCCTCACAGCCGCCGTCGGGCACCGGACTGATGTCGGCCGACCAAGCCGACCCCGAACCAGGCTCCGGGACACCTCCGGAGCCGAACCCCACCTCAAGAGCTAAGCGACGCCGCGACGCCGAGGCACAGCCGACCCGGCCCAGCCTAACGGGAAGCCAGCTTGATGCCACCACCGACGCCCCTACCTCGGCCGAGGGGCCCGCAGCCTCTACCGCATCTGCTCCGAGCGGATCTGCCACAGGGTCCGTCTTGACAGCCCTTGCAGAAGAAGCTAGACAGTACGAGGCACGGAAAGACGTCTTTCTGACCATTGCACGGTCCGTCGACAGCGTTGTCGCCAGCTTTGACGGTTCTAGAAAGCAGATCGCGAAAGAAGCCACTGCCTATGTCATTCAAACCCTCAAGAGACTGATCAATCACGAGACAAGCCCAATAGCGGCCCGGAGTTGGGCGGCTGTCGTCGCACCGATGGCGGGCAACACCACTGCGGCGACCCGGAGCGGCCAGAGCTGCCAGAGCTCTGCCCGCCCGAAGGCCACACTCCCCGCCGAGGATCAGCCGCAGGCGCAGCCGAAGGAGGACCTCCGCATCTTTGCCCGCGTCCCGGAAGAAAGCTTAGCGGCCGCTCGGAAGATCGCACCGTTCGCCGTACGACAGATCGTCTGTAAGGCCGTTGGCCTGGGGCTAGCGGACCTTCCCCACGTCTACCATATCAGCACAGGTTACTCTCTGAAGCCGCGAAACAAGCAAATACAGGAAAGACTACTTACAAGTAAGGCAAAGCTGGCGGAATGCCTCGGCGCCCACCAAGTCGAGACGCCTATCAAGTGGCACACATACGTTGTGCCGCGATGCCCAACAAAACTACACAGCATTGGCGGGGACGTCCTGGACCCAGCCACACTCGTTGAAGATGAGGTCTTCGCACAGACAGGACAGAAGCCTGTCCTTGCTCGACCGTCCCGCCTTGGGCCCAACCCAGTCACGAACGAAATATCTTGGCTCATATCATTCACATCAGAGGTCACGCCCTTCAGGCTCTTCAACCAAAGCGGCAGATCTCTGCCCATCAAAAAACGAAGGACGCTCATCCGACATGACCCCGGCTGCCAGGGCTACCACGCCAACCGGTTCTGCGGACGACGACCGACTTGCAGCAACTGCGGAAGACCTTCCGACTCACACGAAACGGGACCTTGCATGGCCAGGCCCCAGTGTCCCAACTGCTGCGGCCCCTTCCAAGCCGGCCACACAGACTGCCCAGCGAGGCCCTCGGTCGTAAACGGCGTCGTCTCCCTTCCCGGTCGAAAGGAGCGGGCTCGGATCCGGAAGGCCGGCCAGAAAGCATCGGACACTCTGTACAAGGCTACTCGATCCGACAGTAGCCAGGAGGCGGCAGGCGTCCCTACCTCCACCAGCCAGAACCAGCAACCCGGCGCCAAGCGCGCGCGCACGAGAACGCCCTCCGCAAGCTCGATCGTTTGCCTCGGTGACGGAAGCACTGACAGCAGCAGCATGGATGAAGACGAGGCGGACGAAGGCGAAGGCGAAGACTCC